CAAATATTAATTTTTAAATTGAATGGACGTCATATTAGTGAGGTCCCCGACGTATAGTCAAGAATACACGTCGGACATTGGGGGCACCGACGTCTTGATTCCTATTAAATCAAAAATCGCAAACCCGCGGTTACGCGCACTTCATCGTCTTCCTCCTAGCCTTTTCTCTCTGCGGCATTGCATTTCCAGTTGCATTTTATCTCTTTTGAACCGTTTAAACTTACTTTTACTCTGATTAAATTAGTCTTTGATGGATTATCTTCCATTTGAACTAATTAAAATGAGTTTTCATTGTGTTTTGGTGCAGTTTTTCTCGTGTCTTTGGGTAGCGTAGTAGCACCTTTTCCCTTTGCTAGTTTTCTCGTAAGAAAAACTTGCGTCTTTTGGATCTCTTATGGCATTTCAACCCAAAACCGAACCTGGGTCCTTGCCTAGTTCTCATGTCACCGTATTTTTTTTATTGGCGGTTGGAATGGAACTAGGCTAGGACCCAGGTTCGGTTTTGGGTTGAAATGCCATAAGAGATCCAAAAGATGCAAGCTTTTCTTATAAGGAAACTAACAAAGGAAGAAGGTGCTACTACGCTACCCAAAGACATGAGAAAAACTGCACCAAAACACAACGAAAACTCAGTAGACGTCGGTTAATGCCATGTCCGACGTCTATAGTGCCCTTAGACGTTAGTTTCGGTGTAATCTGACGTCTTTATAGATGTCGGACTCTATAGGTCCGACATCCCATTAATGTCACCCATAAAGACGTCGGATCGGGATCTGACGTTAAAAGCCCAAAATAACATACGTGTAAAGCTCTTTCTGCACTAGTGAAAATGAAACAAGACGTCTATATGCATGCTCCTTTCGTTGTTGACAGGGTTTTTATCCAACTCAATTGTCGATCTATTATCTATTCGAATCACCACCTTCTATTCTTTCTTTATTTCTAGTTTATTCAACAGGTTTTTAAGTCAGATTGCATGTCACACACTCAAGAATGATGCCATGTACTTGGTCTCACATGTCGACAATGCCACAATGGGTTGCTTCTTTGAGAACCAAGTGAAGGCCATGTTCCCCATAAAGAAGACGTAACCTGTCGTACTCTTTCGGTAATCTATCTCCGCATCAGTCACTATTTGAGTATCCACTAAGCCGGTAATTGTCTGACTTGGTATAAAACAGTCCGAATGACATAGCTTTTTTTTTCACGTACTTTAGTATCTGTTTTAGTGCTTGCCAACAAGAATATCTTGACTTCTCCATAAAGTGGCTTGTGATTCCCACGCTAGCATCAGGTGTGGCCTTATGTTCGTTAAGTACCTCAAACTTCTAACTAAGTTGCGATAACTTTTGTCATCGATTCGGTTCCCATCCTCGTGCTTGGATAACTTTGTGTCGATTCCATAGGCATAGAAACCATATTGCATTTCAACATCTTCGATTTGTGCAATATCTCCCTAACATATTTCTTTTGATTCGCAAAAATACCTCTCATGCTTTGATATGCCTTAAAACCTAAGAAATGCTTCATAATACAAAGATTGATAATTTCAAACTCCATTTTGATTACCTCTTTAAAATCTCTGACTAACTCGACTTTGCTTTCCTATGAAGAGTAAGTCATCTACGTTTAAGGCAGCAATCAAAAAATCTCCTTTGTGTTTCTTTAAGTATAGAGCGTCTTCATATGGACACTGCTCATAACCATTCTCCTTAAAGTAGATGTTGATCCTTTCATTCTAGGCTCGAGGAGCCTACTTTAGGTTATGCCTTCTTCAGCTTCAGGACCTTTTTCTCTTCACCTCTCCTCATGTAGTTGAGAGGTTGCTCCACATAAACATCTTATTCTAGCACTTATTCAGAAATGCAGACTTTACATCCATATGCTGGATCTTCCAACCTTGCTGAGCCGCTAAGGAGAACAATAGCCAGATCGTCTCCTTCTTCTCACAGGGAGAAAATACTTCATCATAATCAATATATTTCTTCTGTTTATAGCCTTTTACCACAAATCATACTTTGTAATGATCCACCTTTCCTTTTGCATTTGTTTTCTTCTTGTACACCCACTTCACAACAATTGGTCAGGAACCCATAGATAGATCTTGTCAGTTCCCGCATGTCATTCTTCTTAATTGAGCTAATCTCCTCATCCATAAATTTCTTACATCTGTCATCGAACACAGTCTCATAAAAGTTTATATCCTCTACACCTGCTAAAAGACATATAACATGTACCTCGTGAGTAGTATTGTATATATCCCAAAGAGTTCGAGTTCTAAGATGAAAAGGTTCATCTTCATCAGTATTTTCATCATCCTGGACTTCTTTCTTCCTTCCATTTCCATCTGTTGTGCTCCCATTCACATTGGCCAAGCTCTTGTTTGCATTAGCTGAGCTTTTATATTGGTTCTTCTAGTGTTGTTGTTGGGTCTTCCTCTTCCATGGAAGAAAATATTGCTAATATGTGTGGGAAGAAATGTAAAATCTTTAAGGAACTAAGCATGAAGAGGTGTGTTGTTTATTTAGGAATTTAGACACTAGAGTTTCTCACTTGGAAGAGAAATTTGATAATTATTTTGTTGATGATAATGATGATATGAGTGCTGAATTCTAAAATAATAAAATAACTTTTCCTTTGTTTTCAGTATTGTATGAGAGTTAATTTTTTTTTAAATTATCTTATTTAAAGGAAGTTATCTTAATAGTTCATTTTTTCGTTTATGATAAAAGGGAGGGAAAAGTTTAAAGCAAAGATCACTCAAGGAAAGATTTATTTTTCATAAAAGCTATGTAATAATCGATTAATACTATTGATAATAGCTTATCCAAATGAAATCAAGATTTTCATAAAAGGCTATGTGATAATTGGTTATTTACTTATGGTAATTGATTATTACAATGAGAAAATGTTTTTGGAAAAGCTTATGTGATAATCATTTATCTCTTGAAATAATCGATTATTAGCAACAATTTTGACTTGACTCTTCAGGTTCTTGACCTAATTTTCAAAAGAGAAAGTTTATATATATATATATATATATATATATATATATATATATATATATATATATATATATGTGGGTGTGTGTGTGGTTAAACCTAATTTTGAATGCAACTTTTCATTAGAGGTTTAGGGATATGATGCTAGAAAAACTCTGTATTTGTCAAAAGGGGTTTTGAAAAATCAAGAGCGGTATAACTAATCTCAACTTGAGCTAATGATGAATGAATATTCTCTTATTAAGAATCTAGATGGTGGTGTGGTAGTGGAATATCATTTAGCGGAGGAATTGAAAATAGTTTTCAAATGGGATAATATGCTTGATGAGAGAAAAAATTCTAATACTAAATGAGTCAATTCAAGCTAAAAAAACTTGATAGGAGAAGGTAAAATAAAGTTAATATTAAATCTCCAAAGAAAAACTTATAAAATTTAAAAGTATTTTTTGGAATACGAAAGGATTGATTAATGATAAAATTTTTAATATACTTAAGAATTTTTCTTCTTTTAGGTATTTGGAGTTCAAAATAATGAATGACTTTTGTGAAGAAAATAATGATTTTTCTTTTTTTGTTCATGGTAAATATTCTTTGACTATATTCGTGAGATGTAATCTTATCGTGAGTTTATTGTGGTCCTCATTTTTTTTCTTTCTTTTTTATTTTTTAATAAGTTCTTTATGTAATGAATTGCATGTGCTTATCTAGAATAACTTAAAGAAATTTAAATTGAAATTTAAGTTTATAATAAATTATAAACTATTGAGTTGTAAATTTAAGTTCATGTTTTTATTGAAAAAGAGTTAAGAATATAATAATTAAATTCTTTCAATTATTACAATTATAAAAGTTTTTTAATTTATTATTAAATTTATTTTAAGTTTACAGAAATTATATATTTTTATATACTGAAATAGAATATTTAATTATTTGCGTTCATAATATACAAATATATATATTTAAATTCTTTATTTTAATTAATTATATAAATAATTTAGATACAGTTTTACAATAAAAATATCATGATTTCAATTTACAAAATAAAATAATTATATTTTTTATAAACTTAAATTCATATTACAAATATATATATATATATATATATATATATATATATATATATATATATTTTAAATCCATTAAATAGAAACAATAAGTTTTGATCATGGTACATCAGAAAAAACTTAGACCGAATCGAAGACAACTGAGTAGATACAGTGTTACATTACCTTGTGTCCCGAATGTTGTCTGTCAATTGTTGTCTAAATGTGTTTGTGTTTTAAGGCGAAGGTTAATCACTCCCACGTGCTATCTGTATCACACGATAATGCGCCTATGCATGGCTGACAGAGTTACTCAGCGTTGTTGCGTCTGCTGTCGTGGAAGTTTCTACCACCACATCGCAATGCCACATATCACCTTCCCCTCTATTATTCTCACTTGTCATCTTTCTAAAGGGAACCCAAATATTAAATTTTGATAGTGAAATTTATCTCCAATAATGTGCCACGCCAAATACGTTCTGGCCTCACAATTTTTCCTGACCCCACCTCGCCTTTTCATTATTTTTACCACTTCAGCGATCATCACAACTTTTACCACTTCAAGGATGCATCTCATTTATCCTTAACTCTGTAAAACAAATATAAATTGTTGACTGAATCTTACATGTCAGATTGATGATTAAATGTTACAGTTTTATCTTGTTGTGCTCTTTTTTTATACAGAGAGAAGGACTGATATCTATTTACGGTTACTGGAGATTCAAGGGAAAACCACTGAACATGAAGAAAGTAGAATCCGATGAAGTCTACGTCAATAGTAGTGAATTTCAAACGTTAAAAGATGTGATATTCCAGCTTTTGTTTTTACTTATTTCCAACCTAGAAGGTGGACAAAATAAATGGTGTATGAAATGGATATTACACATTTGCTGTTGCCTCAAGAATATTTTGTTTTTTTAAAGAGAAATATTTAGCAAGTGTTGGGCGTGTTTATGTGAACCTCCAACGTTATCTTTTCTATTTGAGGTCCAACATGAAGTGAAAGCGGAAAGACATTTGAGAGAAAGGTTAATTATCCAACCGAATCACAAGACCATTTTCATGTTTTCATTACAAACTTTTCACGTTTCGATGTTTCTTTCCTAAAGAGACTGTGTGTGGTTATTTTTACCAGAGGAAACTCTGTCCCTCTCTCTCTTTCTGCACAATTTGGTGAATTTTGGCTAGCTTTGTTGTTATTTTTCTGTGTGTTATTTATTGCATGTACGTTATGTACTTACACTCATTAATTCTTTCTCATTCCAACAGAACCTTAGGTGGTGGTGGTGGTACTTGTTCTGTAGTAATCATCAACAGAGATAAGATAACTCATAAATGGAGAAACTCAAAGTGTCCACAAAGCATGATTCTGATGGCAGCAGTGATCAGGCAGATTCATTTCCAATATTCGAATTGCGCGAGAGTCAAAATGTTGGACAGCAGAGGTATAGAAGAGAGGAAGATGATACAAAAGCTGTGAGATTCGATGGAGCTTCTGCAATTGCTTCCTCTAATTCTGCAAGCAATAAGGAATCTGCCAACAAGTGGATGGCATTTGCTAGGGACCCTGGTTCTGCAGTTGATAGCAACTCAGCAGTAAATGATAAAAGTACCACTGAAGACAATTACTTAAGGAATCATCTGAGTGACAAGTCTTCTTCTGATCAACAAGTTTTAACTGAAGCAACCATAGCTGAGAGAACTGCAGAATGGGGTCTTGTAGTGAACTCTGGGAACTTCAAAACCAGTTCTTCTTTCGATGGTGACAGAACCAGAAACTTGTCAGATAGATTTGTTGAATCAACAAGGACATCTGGGGATTCAAATTTTGGATCTGAGTCATCATCAGGGGTTTTAAGGGTGTCACAAGAGTTGAAGGATGCATTGGCGACGCTGCAACAGACATTTGTTGTCTCAGATGCAACTAAACCAGACTGCCCAATTATGTATGCCAGTAGTGGCTTTTTCACTATGACTGGCTATTCTTCAAAGGAGATTATTGGAAGGAATTGGTGAGCATTCCTGTCTTTACAGTAGCAATATATGTTGTTTCAATCACCCTTATAGATAGCTATTTTCACCAAAAGTAGCTAACTGAGGAAAACATACTCTGCACATGGGAAATTTATGCCAATTTAAGATGTTTAACTAAAGAATGCATAGTTATTAATGAAGCATCCAATTTCTGGTTTCAGTCGGTTTCTTCAGGGGGCTGATACAGACAAGAATGAAGTGGCCAAAATTCGGGATGCTATTAGAAACGGAAGAAGTTATTGTGGCAGATTATTAAACTACAAGAAAAATGGAACTCCATTCTGGAATCTTCTCACTGTCACCCCAATCAAAGATAACCAAGGCAATACTATCAAATTCATCGGGTCAGTTCTGCCTTTCCTATTTGGTTTTTCCTGGTTTTCATGACCAACTTGTGTATTACTTGTATCATTTCTACTGAAGCTCACTTGTTATGTAAATGTGAACACTTTCTGTAGATTTACAGAAGTAGCTCTTTAGGTTGATTCTGTATGATATGAGTTTGTGATTCTGAAGCATTATTATTAGCACTTTAACATGGTACCAGAGTCTAAATGTTCTTTTAAGGGATTGTGAGAGAAAAAAGAGAAGCCAAAAAGCCAAAGAGAAAAACCACACACAAAAATTCTGTGAAACAAAAATGGCTTTCAATAATTCTTTACCTTCACCTCCCAATTTTTCTAGTGAGAACTTTCATCTTTGGGCTGCAAAGATGAGGGGTTACCTGAAAGCTCAAAGGATGTGAAATACATTTGAAGATGGTAGTATTCAAACTCCATTACCTGAAAACCCAACAATAGTACAACTCAAAAGTTATATTGATGAAATAGTAAAAGAAGAAAAAACACTTGCTATCATACAAAACAACTTTACATGATCATAATATTTTGATCAAGAAGTTTGGGATCAGTTAGAACAAATGAAATGCAGGTTTTGAATATGTGAAGAGAGTTTGAAGATGAAGGACAACGAATATGTCACTGGCAGTCTTTTAAAGGGTCACATTTATAAGGTTGTTTGGTGAAGAACTAAGTGATCAATGTGTAATGGAGAATATCTTAGTTGTCTTTCTGAGAGGTTAGAATAAAAAATCTCTTCTCTAGAAGAGAACAAGGATTTCACCATGATATTAATGACAAAATTAGTAAATGCTCTACCAGTCCCTGAGCACCGAATATCTCTCAGAATGGAGGAGTATAAAAGGTGCGCTATTAACACATATCGAAGGTAAAATCCAACCATAGAAAAAACCTGTTAGTCATAGAAAAGATAAGAAGTAGGAGGATAAAAGAAGCAAGGGGAAACCAAGAGACAATATTTGTTTCCAAAACATGGCTTCGAAGGTTTCAAATGACAAACCAAACACATTTAATCTTTAACAATTCTTACTCTCATTTCCGTTTTCTTTACTTAAATTAAATCCTTTGCTGCAAGGAAAAACATCCGTGGCCTGTTTTTGGACTGTAAAAGAAGCTATTTTAATCTTATATCTATCAATTGTTGGTTGAAATGGTTTAAACGATCTAGATGAGGTTTAGTACATTTGAGTGAAAATTAAAAAAGAAAGAAAGGAAAAGCTGGCCATGCCACCAAAGCAAACTAAAAGCAATGCATTTAAGGGAGCAGTTATGATCCTTCTACATTTTTTAACATTAACAAATCCAGCAGTGTGCTTTCAGGGAAAATGGTTGTATCTGGAATGTGAGTTCTAAGTATCTAACAGTTTTGGTTAGTAGCATCTGAAATATGCTTACTGCTTAATACAGTTATTTATTACTACAGAATGCAGGTTGAGGTGAGCAAGTACACTGAAGGAGTGAATGAAAAGGCGTTACGACCAAATGGATTACCAAAGTCATTAATTCGATATGATGGTAATATGCGGAGCCATTTTTAGTAATGTCTGAATTTATGAGTTTATATGTAATCATTTAATTTCATTTACCAGCTCGTCAAAAGGAAAAAGCTTTGGGTTCCATCACCGAGGTTGTCCAAACTGTTAAGGACCCAAAATCTATTATTAAAAATAGGAGTGATGATAATGCCTCCATGCAAGAAGTGGAACAGAAAATGAATCTTGATTTTGCTTTGCCAAAGTCTGCTGTTGCTGGGAATACAAGCACACCTGGTAGACAACCTTCTCCACTTAACATCCAACGAGTGAGTTCTAATCAGGAAAAGGTCAGAACATCACGATCAGGACGGATTTCTTTCAAGGGGTATTAATTTCTTTATAGTTTAGCCAAAAATCAATTCTCATTTTCCATATGCTTAACTGGCTGCTAAAAAATATATTTTGAAAGCTTTTCTGTTTTGCTTACATTCGATTCACTAGCTATCTCCATTTGGGTTATTACCTCAAATTGAAGTTCACTGTATGTTCTTGAAATGCTTTTCCTTTCATTACAGTTTTAAAGGGAAATCTCAGAGTTATAGTGGGAGAGATGAGGAGAAGTACACTGTTGAACCTGAGATTTTGATGACCAAAGAAATAGAGTGGTCGAACAATTTGGAGAACTCACTAAGAGAGAGAGACATGAGGCAAGGAATTGATCTAGCAACCACATTGGAGCGGATAGAAAAGAACTTCGTGATTTCTGATCCTAGACTGCCAGATAACCCAATTGTAAGACAGTTTTTTTCTCTTTGGTGCAGCATGTGTATGCTGAATATATACTTGTTGTGTTTGTTGAAAATAGCTTTTAAGTGATACTATTGCTTTCTGTGCAGATATTTGCATCTGATAGCTTTCTTGAGCTTACGGAATACACACGAGAAGAAATTCTGGGACGAAATTGTCGGTATAAACTTTTCTATATCTTTGAATACAAGAGTTTCATTTTTCTTCAGTGCTGTCTTCTCTGTCAGAAACACTCTTCTGATGGATTTCTGTCTACTTTAATAGATTGGTTGTCATTTCAGTATCACACTGTTTCTTACCAACTAGAGAAGTTGGTCTATGTTTTTCCTGATTGTGTATTCCTCTGTAGTTTGCTAGCATTTTCTTCTATCATTTAGAAGTTCACGTAAATAGAAGAATGCATGACATACAATTTCATAAACCAGGGTAGTGATAAGTAAGAAATGTGTCAATCAACTTTGTCCTTTGAGTAGTCCCTGTACTTTTCTCTTTCAAAGAAGAATACATCATCAATTTAGTTAGAGAAATTTATTCATCAGGATAACAGGTCCTGTTTCTGACATTTTTAGATTGATAAACTTAATGTAAGCTTTTGATTGCAGTGCAAGTAATGTGATAGTTCATTTCATTCATTGCTTAGGTTTCTTCAAGGACCAGAAACAGATCAGGCAACTGTTTCCAGGATAAGGGATGCTATCAGAGAACAGAGGGAAATCACTGTTCAGTTGATCAACTATACTAAGAGTGGTAAATGACTGGTCAAATTATATCTATATTTCTGACTTTTTCTCTTCATTGGAGAATGACTTGTCTTCCCCGCAGTTGTAATTCAATCGTACACTTTCTTTATTCAATTTTTTTTTCTATTTAAAGTTGTACTTTGAAAGTTGGGTGGCAACTGATTTAGATAATATGTTTTCATTTTTCAAATCTAGCATTCTTTTTTGTTTATTTATTGTTTACCTCTTCTAATTTCTATCATGCAGGAAAGAAGTTTTGGAATTTGTTTCACTTGCAACCCATGCGTGACCAAAAGGTGATTGTGATATTGTTAAGCAAGAAAACAAATAATTTGAGTCCCGAGCATTCAGTATCAAAGAATAAATTGTCTTTCCCTCTTTTTAGTTTTTATGTCGTTTTGAATGATTTGTATTTAGGGTGAACTTCAATACTTCATTGGCGTTCAACTAGATGGAAGTGATCATGTAGAACCCTTAAAAAACCGCCTGTCTGAGACAACTGAGCTACAGAGTGCTAAGTTGGTGAGTATTGTCTTTTTAGTCTTAGCTTTTCACTTAATGGTTCAAGGTGATTTGTTTTTATATTTTACTTTGTTATATGCTCTTACCCTTATTATTTCAGGACAAACCTAAGATTATGTATATTATTCCATATGTCAACAAAACTTCCGTTACTGAAAACTTCCCTTATTGAGATGTTTTCTTGAATATTATCAACCTGAATTCAGCATAACTACTATTCAATAGCAAAAATTTCTGCAATGTATTATCAAAGACAATATGTACATGATGTGTCAAACCTGTAAACATTTCAGCTGCAGTGTTCTTGTTATTTAAGAATTTTTTATTATAAAATGTTTGAGCAAATACCCTTTCTAGATTGGTAAGAGGGGAGACATAAGAAAATATGAAATTAATTAATTTGTATGATGGCAATAGCTGCAAATAGCCGGAATTTGTTAGTGACTATTGCCACTGTTATTAGTTCAACGTGTATTGTAATATCAATATAAAACGTTGCTCACCATGAGTTTGTCTTAGAATTCCAGTATAAAATTGAGTTGCTCATGTAAATTTCTTTACATGCTTTATTTGACTATCTTCATCATTTGCCTTTGATATTAGGTGAAAGCCACTGCAGAAAATGTGGATGAAGCTGTCCGAGAACTTCCCGATGCCAACTTGGTAAGGTATTCCATTTGGGTTAGCAATACCCCACCTGTGTACATATTTTTTAGATTTCCTGTAATGCATTATTTTATATTTGTTATAGTTGTGTCATTTGAAGAAGAGTGATATGGTATGTTTTTGCTGATATCAAATGAATCTGTTATGTTGCAGAGGCCAGAAGATTTGTGGGCAATTCATTCCCAACCTGTATATCCACGACCTCACAGAAAGGATAATCCTTCTTGGATAGCAATACAAAAGGTACCACCTACCCATTCATGCATTTCACTTCCTTTGTATGACTTTGTCCAGAGTGATGAATAAGAAATTATTTTTTTACTCGTTAGTTAATGTATAAATTAGTTTTAGTCAAGGGAAAGTTAGTTTATAAAGAGTTTTTCTAAATAAATCATTTAGCTGGCCTGTTTTGTTTTGTCGTAGAAATATGCCCTATTTTCGTTGATTTGTTTCTTTGACTTTTTCAGGTTACTGCAAGAGGCGAAAAAATTAGTCTGAAACATTTTGTGCCCATAAGGCCACTAGGTTGTGGAGATACTGGCAGGTAGAGTTTGTTATCAACCTGTATCAAATATTTGCTTTCAATAAAAAAATCCTTATATTTTGATTTATAGGGTCTAACTCTATACGAAACCAGTTCCAAAGTAGGAGTTGCCCTTCCATTATATACTTGGTCAAGATTTCAGTTTTTTCCCCAAACATTTTCTTACATCTAGCACAATTAGACTTCATAGTGAATAATATAGCAAGTTAGCCTATAAAAGATCTTGGACAATGCAAACGCATCATAATACATGACAGTGATGTGATTATCAAGTAATCAATTTCTAAGATCACCCCAAGAATTTGTGGTCCCAAAATTTTCAGTATCATAGAATAAAAGTTATCTCTTAATTTATCAAGACATCACTGTTTTTTTTGCTACAGTGTTCATTTGGTGGAACTCAAAGGCACTGGTGAACTATATGCAATGAAAGCAATGGAAAAGTCTGTCATGCTAAATCGTAATAAGGTCTGGATATGTAAGAGTCACTAGTTTCTTCTTAAAGATTCTATGTTCTTTACTTTGAAAATACATGCTTTTTGTATGAAAAGTTGAATAAGTAATCACGCTATGAATTCATGGGTTTGTTTACTTCGTATGTTCAACTTGAAAGGAAAAACCACAAATGCATAGCACAATAATGAATGCTGAGGCTTGAGAATTGAACTAATGGTTCTCAAAAACACCAACCTTGCACCCTAGTCTTTCAAATATAAGTAAAACATATTAATTTAGGCTTGTGTGTTGATGTTTCTTCACAATCTAATACCCCTTTTTCCGTTCATGAAAGTTATAGTTAACTTGTCTCACTCAACATATTTCTGTCATTAACTGATTACTATTACAGGTTCACCGATCATGCATTGAGAGAGAGATTATATCATTATTGGATCACCCTTTTCTTCCAACACTATACACCTCATTTCAGGTAAATATAACTCATCTGTCATTAAGTTGGACTGAGAGACAAGTGATGTGTAAAGTTTGATCAAGATATTGTGCTAACAGACAACCTAAAATTTATTAAGCATAACTCTGGTATTCACTGGAAATGGGGAAGAACCTTTTGAAAAATTATTAATTCATGAGAAGAGTTGTACCCTGTTTTTATTTGTATCAGGCCTGTTAAATTTATAGCAAAAATTGATTGGCAAATAAAATCCTTCCGAAGACTCTCACCTATTCATCTTAATATGACTCTCTTCCAATGTTACTCTCAAAGCTACCTATAAATCGATAAAACGCTAAAACTATTGCCTACAAAATTACTATGAAATATATTGAGCAAAATATTTCTTTTAGAAAAGTCTTGAAGGATTTGTTTCCTGTAATGTGTAAAAGGTGGAGTGCTTAGTGTAGAGGTCATTATGATGTATAATACACACGAATATGGAGATATTAAAGATATTATTATCCTAAGAAACCACTAACAAACTGCTATTTACAACAGTAATAAACTGAAAAATAAGATTATTGGTAATGAGAAGGGTAAGTACAAAGTCACTAATTACATCTCTAATAACTAGGGTTCCTATCTGAGTGGGCTCTTGCCAATTGTTCTAACAGTTCTTTGTCTCAACAGACTTCTACACATGTATGTTTGATTTCTGACTTCTGCCACGGGGGAGAATTGTTTGCATTGCTTGACAAACAACCAATGAAGATTTTCAAAGAAGAATCAGCAAGGTACTTTTTAGTTTCCTAATAACACACATAATAGGCTAACAACTATTCAAAACGATGAATATATTTATATCTTTATAACGCAGACCGTTATCTTTTTTGTTAATTTTATCAATCATGTATCCAGATTCTATGCGGCAGAGGTTGTCATTGGTTTGGAATATCTCCACTTTCTAGGTAAGCTGCTCAGTATATCTTCATTTTGATTAGTTCATATACATTCTTAATCACTTTTGTATTCAATATATCTTTGATCTCTAAGCTGGCATAGGTAAAGTTCATATTATTTTCTATGCTACTTTTGGTGTTGACTGTTAAGTTAGAATTCATTCCTTCAGCATTGCCAGTTGATCCACCTATGTATCGATAGCTTAGCAATATCATTTAGCAAAAAACCGAACCACTGAAAAGTCTAAGGTTAGAATTTAGAAGACAGTGGCAGCAAGTAATCATTTATGTAAAGCAAATCAGGAAAAAAGCAGCTTCACTTGAACTAAAAGTAACTATCAGTGTTGGTTAGGTTCAACACATTTTGAAGATATTGTATCTTATTTTTGCTAACTCTGTGATAGAACTTTAGTAAATGAGCTTTCAAAATATTTAAACAATAAAACACTTTTATTTACTTTCTCTTTATTATAACCAACTAAGGCACTTTCATTCCACACTTAGTGTTTTTTAAATTGATTTTATTCTGTTTTTGGAATGGTATGCTCTATTTCATTTTTCATGATACATACTGCATTGATTTGGCTAATTAATTTTGTTGCTGTGTTAGTTTTTGTTTAATGGTTTGATAGCGGCAAGTTCTGTTTTATGTTACTTGTCACAGACAGTCGGCATATAACAGATTATACAGTTTAATTGCTTTCATTAATTTTGATTCTGTTTATCTGCATAATAATTAGAATTAATGCAAAATGACAACATAGTTTTTAATTCTTTTCTTAAGCGAAGTGTAGCTTTTCAATGGCTCCTCTCATAAAGGGTTTAAAATAAAACTGTTACACCTTAACGACACCTTTCACTTTCGACCACCTTTCTATATATGTCTGAGTTATATCCTTTAGTGACAAGATAGGGAAACTAAGTCCAATGAGACACTGTGCATAGCTTGCATTCATCTTGAATGAGAGAGTGCCTTTGTTTTTAGTAAAAAAGACAGATCATAAAAAAAAATTTCAGGTTTGTTGTATCCCAGGATTTTTCCTGTCTTGCCTGTTTTGGGGTTAGGGATGTTTTTCTTTCCTTACAATTTTTGCATGTATTTATATTTGTGTTTAATCATACCGTTACCATTTTTTTTTTAATTTTGTATGTTATGCCAATATAGTCCATGTGATTGTTTTGGAAGCAACCTGTCCTGATAGAATTTTTTTATTATGCACAACAATGAGAGAAAAAGGTAGACACTGAATCTTAGGTTATCTGAATATTGTTTTCTTTTATTGAACCTGTCTAGGTATAATTTATCGTGACTTAAAGCCTGAAAATATCTTACTTCAGAAGGATGGTCATGTTGTATTAACTGATTTTGATCTATCATCTATGACATCGTGTAAACCCCAGGTACGTATACTTTATTCCTGTATAAACATGGTCAATTTTTTGTAAGTTATTGGAAATTCTTGACTAATATATGAAATTAATTGGTGTTACACTTCTCCAATGATCTAGTTGTGGTAGAAAAAAAGTGTTACCCAAGGCTTTAAATCTCTCCACTTTTAATATAATACATTTTTTTACTGATGTTTTAAAAACAATTTTGTTATTGTTGTCTTCTTTTGGAGTCACCAGGTATCTCTAGTAGTGGCACTTTTCTTAACCATCATTACATGAAAAATATGTCTTGCCCTTAGATAAGAAAAGTAACTGATGTACTAGGGTTGCCTTTCAGCTTGATAATTTGTCAGATGCTTAAATTAAAATTCAATTTTACAGGTTGTGAAGCAAGCATTACCTGGTAAAAGAAGAAAATCACGAAGTGAACCTCCACCAATACTTGTTGCAGAGCCAATTACACAATCAAACTCATTTGTTGGAACTGAAGAATATATTGCCCCTGTATGGCGATTTTCAATTCTTCTTCATTCACAATCAAACATGAGGACCTGTATTGTAGTCCATTAAAATCATAATAACATTATTTTGTTATTCATTTGTTGTTATTTGTTATTATCACTGTCATTATCATCTTTTAAGCTTTTTAAGGTACTTGATTTCAGGAAATTATAACTGGAGCTGGGCATACCAGCGCTATAGATTGGTGGACTCTTGGTAATCACTTTTATCCTTATGATTGAATACCAACTATGAAGCTTTATTTTGTTACTAATTGTAAGAAGTCTCATGGGGATTAGAGATAAGACAATTTAGAGCATATAAATAGGTGTAAACCTCACTTTAAAAGTTGATTTTGTAGAGTTGAGTTAAGTTTAAAGTTCACCTCTTAACATGGTATCAGAGACATTGAACCACCTATTAATATCTAGTATCACACGTGAGATGTATATACCTCGGTAAGAAGGAGTGTGTTAGAAGTCCTAACCCTACTAGAGACAAGACCAATTTAGTTTATGTTACCAGGAACAAAAATAATAACTTCTCGAAAATTTTGATAGAGCCTACTTTATTGATGCTTTGTGCATAGAGGGGTTTTGCTTGACGGGGCATATTAAAAGTCAAAGCTATTCCTTGCATCCCCCTAATAAGTTTTAGTCCCAAATGGTTCTTAACAAAGACACAAGGATTCAAAAGAGTAGGTTTTTTTTTTTCTTTATTTTTGACATTAACAATTCTGTTTCTTTCTGTTTAGGTATCTTATTGTATGAGATGCTGTATGGTCGCACACCATTTAGAGGAAAGAATAGACAGAGGACATTTTCCAACATCTTACACAAGGATCTTACCTTCCCAAGCAGCATCCCGGTACACAAAAATAGTGCTTGATTTTTATTAGTTAAACTTAGAATTTTCTGCATAAATTACATGTAATTCCCAACTTCAAACAATGGGTAGTAAAACTGATGTAGAAAATCATAAGTTCATAACCACTCAAATAAATAGGTACTTGATTTCAAATTCCTCTATAGGTGTGAAAAATAGTACATTGTATTGACAGAGGAAGTGGTCTTTTGACATCCATAGATACATTTCACAAAAAGTGTGCAAATTATCATAATTCACTGTGCTACTGTTTTTATCTTACTACATCAACTGATACAGTTCAAAAAATTTTCAGGCCAGTCTTGCGGCCAGGCAGTTGATTAATGCATTACTGCAGAGAGATCCAACAAGTCGTCTAGGTTCAACCACTGGTGCAAATGAAATCAAACAACACCCTTTTTTCCGTGGAATCAATTGGCCTCTAATCCGCAACATGGTAAAATCCTTGTCATTACTTTTCAAGTCAGTGATTAGAAAAATATTGATTTCCACAAAAATCCCTAAATATCCATTTACTTGGTCAATTTTGAATTTATAATCCAAATCAGTCCATAAGGTCCTGATGTGGGGACTACTTTGGCTGACAAAATGTACATTCAAGGACCTCAAGAACAATGAATCTGTATCACTCAACTTGACATGTCATATCTCTGTAGAAGCCAATTTAGGGTTGGTTAAAGTAGTGGAATTGAATGCGACAGCTACTACCCTCTAAGCCTTTTAAACCAGAAAAAGAAAAAGAGAAAACAGGCAGTCAAATAATGTTTTTAGTACTTGTTGAAGTTGTTACCTGCTTATGTTCCTATGTATTTGATGCAGAGTCCACCTCCATTAGATGTTCCTCTAAAATTGATAGGAAAGGATCCAGTGGCGAAGGATATAAATTGGGAAGATGATGGAGTGCTAGTTAGCTCCATTGATATGGATATTTTTTGACGGCTCAGTGTTTACTTTACTGATATGGATGTTATGTCAGCATCATCGTATCTGCTGCAACAATCACGGGGTGATGTTAAAGTGTAATATATAGAGTATCTGCTGATTTGGTAATGGTTCAAAATCTAAGTTATGTAGGATTAGCAGAAAATTAGAATGTACAATGTACATTGAACAAGCATCTAGTTATGCATGTCGACAATACATCAATAATATACTTCTGTAGATGCCTTAAAAAAATCAATGTTACAGCTTTTTTTATTATCTATATATAAACTAATTTATTTATTGCCACTCTAATCCTTTGTAGGACTGTCAGAAAGAGAGAATGGAAAAAAAAAATTCAGAATACCATGTAGTGTTTTACACACACAAGAGCTATAATGGCAATGATTATTAACACGTAAGATGTGAAGCATAAATAATAAAAAGAAACATAATGAAGTGAAAATTTAAATGATTCTTCAACATTATTATATATGAGGAGATGTGGTTTCATAACAGATGATATACAACTTTTAGCAGAAGATTGTTCAAAATGTACACAAATGGGCGTAGTTTTGGCAAAAAAAGAAAAAGAAAAAACTAAATAAGATTCTAAAATTGAAAAAGATTTAATTTATCGTTTTAACAATCACTGATATATTCAAGATGTAATTTCATGAAAATTATAATGTATTTTCGATATTTTTAGAAGTGAAGATATTAACTTTGTCTTTCTACTTAGAGGGATATTGTTTAATATTAACTAATTATAAAGTCCAGAAATGAAACCTTTTCAGGTTATTTGAATTAATTATACACGTTTTATTAGTGTCAACGAATACAGAGAGGGATAAAATATCAACGCAGCAGAGTGAATCCTTTAATTTTTAGAAAAAATATAAGTGGTACAATATGACTATTAGACTCTTTTTAAAAAAAAGGAAAATAAAATAAGTTGATGTGATTGTTCTAACATCCAAAAAATATAGTTGTAAATTATACTTAAGAATCCTTACATTTACAATAAAATAGAAATAAAGCTAACTTACAGTTATCCTAAAATAATCATAAATTAAAAACTTTATCGAAATCTACACTAATATAAATTATAAAAACAGACCGATCGGTCATACAAGAAGTGTATCGACCGAACGGTCCTACAAACAGTGTATTACACCGAACGGTCCTATACTAACTGCAAAAACAAGCACAAGACCTAACGGTCTTACTCTTAGCGGAAACCATCCTCTCCAGCAAGTGCATGCTCCAGAGAACCCTCAATATCTTCTGCTCAAACCTACCGGGTGATCATTGCAATGACAAAGACGACCGAACAGACAACATGACAAGACAGAAAAATAAGGGTAAGCTAGTGTAATTTAATTAATTCAGTAAAACTTATAATTCACACAATTCTAAGATAAATCAACAGGTCAATCATGCAACAACCAAACATATATTTCCAGCAATGACAGAACGTATAATACATGTAATGACCGACCACTTTTACTCTGACTGTCCGGACTGTATGAATTCTGTGTAGCTACAACGTTTTTGCATCTGGGTGATGTAGTAGCTGGGATGCCCTCAACAGCTGCCACCCGAGTTTAGTCTGTTTCGTCCAAGTTCACCTTATGGACTAGGACCTCCTACCATTCTCACACATGACTTACTACTCTCTACTTGAGAATGAGTAATCACAGAATATCAGGATAAATGCCAGTTAAGCATAACCACATTCATACTCTACCATTCAATAACCAATCTTGAGATATTCCTCCCTGGAATACTCCTTCATATCCATACTATTCAATTCATGCCACACTTTAAATAACATCATACTTTAGTGCCATCATATTTCTTCATTTGTAACACATTTAAGTAAAATCAAACCGAACAGGAGAACCTCCACCACACTTGAGCACATTCGAACGTGAAAGATCAACACAACCTATAGACAAGGCCGAACACCCTGTGAATGTTAGAGACCGAACGATTTCTCAGTATAGAACCGATCGGTAACGACTATCATCCATAAATATGACCGAACGGTCAATTTGAAGAATAAGGCTCAAACATGAGCCAAATACAATTTCAGGGTCAAACACTATAACAACCGAACACTTAGAGCTTGGACCGAATACTAAGAACTTAGACCGAACACTTAGTGTAAGAACGAGCGGTCTTTCACTATCCACTGAACAGGACCGAATGGTCCATACTCGGTAAGGTTAACGAAATGGCCGAACACTAAAGCATGACCGAATGGTCATTAACAGGTAAGGTCCATCGTAGGCCGAACACAATTAAGACAAAACATCAATACCAGACCGAATACTAGTACAAGACCGTCCGGTCATTAACAAAAAACTCTAAGAAGTAGAACTCAGTTAAGACCGAACACTAGAGGAAGACCACCCACACCTAATACCAAACGGTCATGAGTGGGTAAGACTCTAATGAGACCGAACCTTATTTAATGACCAAGTACCTGACCGAGCGGTCAATAGCGAACACTCAGTTTTGTGCATAATTCTGCAGAATTTCTGTAGAATTAAGAACACGATAACATTTACCAAGACGAAACATGTTTCCCAACTTCCAATCTTCCAAACATGAATCATATACCAATTTACATTATTCCAAGGATGTCTAAACCTTTCTAAAGGGTCTGCTACCAGATTCACGATCCAAAACTGCATAATAATCAACCTAAGGACTCAAATTCAATTCTACTGATTTTTGGCACAGTTTGAGTGACTTAAGGATTTTAACAAGTCCTAAATAACTTATCTAAGCTCTCCCCAGTGACCAATTGAACACCTAACCCCAATTCCCCATTTTTACTACTCCACTTCCTCAAACACACTCAAGAACAGCATCATCCACTCAAAGCTGAATAGTTTAACAAGGTCACAAGTTATATCATCTAATACAAATATACAATTCACATAATCATTCGATTATATACCCATGCAAACTTCCAAACAACATTACACAATAGTATAGTTCAACAACACATCAACCAATTAAATTAACTAGCTCCCCTTACCTCTTAACCGAACCGCACATCTTGACAGAATTAAACTTATTCACAGTTTTGCTAAGCCGCAAGTGATCCTAGGATAGGCTACAGACTTTGGATTGGTGAAAGAAAACCAACCACCGAACCAAAAACAGAATCAGAACCCAGATGAAGAACCGATGAACACATGCAAAATCGAACAGTGTTTTCATGTACCAGAAATTGCAGAAATTTCAAGAATCAAAGAGAGATAAACTTACCGGCTCTAAACCTGAAATTGATTAGTGGAAAAGGAAGTCCTTGATCTCAAGATCACCTAGGAAGCTCCTGATCGCCGATCAGGCTAACCACTAGTGAGAAATTTTAGAGAGAAGGAGAAGAAAAGGTAGAGAATAGAGTTTTTAGAGAGATATAGTGTACTGATATAATGAGCTAAGTGTTTTAAAACTTCTATTTATACTGTTAGCTTATTATAACACTAATTGTTCAATCTCATTATTTTAATACATTTATCTACTCTTAACCGTCTATTTTCTGAGTGCATTGTGAGTTTTCTAAAGCTTAATAAACCTTTTATCTGTTAAAGAATTTTGTTAATTTCGTTATTTAAATAAAATGTCTAAATTATTTACATAACCTATACATATGTTTTAAATGAAAGAACAATTTAAATAAGAAAATCATCAAAATATCCTTAACTAACGCCTCAAAATTTATAATGCTTTGGATAATCATAACAATACCAAATTAATTTATTTTAGTTTAGGAAGAAAGGAGCCTAGTGTTATGGCATGTAAGTATGAAGAATATTGTATGTGGATCGAAAAGTTTTGGATAATCTTCACTTATACTTACGTTGAACCCGTTGTTTAGCGGCCATTTTCTTCACATTCTTGTCTTAATCTTTTTCATTTTACTTTTTTATTCAGAAAGGTCTTTTGGATTACTTGTTCTAGAATATTTTTTTTTAATTTTGGAATAAGTGTTTTAAAATATTTTTTTAAATATGAAAATACTTTTTGAAACATAAAAAAAAATCTGAAAGAAGTGTTTATTTATTTCAAAATATAAACAAAAAAATTAAAACAAATATTCTGAAAGATATTTTTGAATTTGAAAATACCTTTTAGAATATCCATTCAGAATTATATTTTTATACTTTTCAAATTGAGTATTTTGGAATATATTTTTGAACTTAAAAATACCTTTTAAAACATTCAATCTGAAAAATATTAAAAATAAGGATACGAAGGGATTTTTATTATAATTTTAATGAGAGGTAATTTGGGAATTACTGCTTTCATGGGATGTGGGATGAAGAAAACTGGGGTGCAAGAAGCAATAGCTCTTTGTTTCCTTTTCATGTATTTTCAAGCATGAATCATATATGTTATTCTTGATTCAACTAAGTGTGTTCTTGAAGGGTTAAAAAAATAGGTATGAAACCCATTTCACATATCTGAGTTTGAATCTGATCCATGTTTTTCACTTTGATTCTTGGTCTCCTTGTGTTTTTTTTTTCACTTTGATTCTTAGCCTAATCACATTCTTTGTGTTTTTTTTTTCATTTCCTTAATCAACTTCTGTGTGTTCTTTATTTTTTTAAAATAAGTTTGTAATTTATTTCTAAATCATCCCAATTCTTCCTTTATAACTTATATTTCTATAAATTCAATTAGTTGAATTTGATTAATAGGTGATTCTAAAACAGTTTATGGATAGGAATATTTAAATATTTATTTGTTTTTTCATTCTTGACTATAACTTGAAATATCAAAATCTTCAAGACCCATTTTATAGTAGAATTGACCATTGTCTTCTACTTTGAACTCTGAAGCTAGCATCAATGTGTTCACCTTGCTCAAGGAATCTTATTTATGTGTTCCCTTTCATTTGATGAACAAATACTGACATGTGACACAGGAGAATTCCTTTTTGGAATCATGCATACTGAGTGTCAATATATGCACTCTAAAGATCCTTATTCCTAACACAAAGGATGCTTTGCCTAAGTCTTTCATTAAGAAACAACTCTCCAACCATGTTTTAAAATGTTGTAGTGTTAGGATGTCATTTTCAATGAACAATATGTCATCATTCAAAAATTTGCAGTTGTAGATGTTTGTGTGAGATTTTTTTGGTCTAACCATAGTAGACAACCATGAAATGATCAAGAAGAAATAATTGAGATTTCATTCACTAAACAACTTTGTAAAACATTGTGACAAGAAAATTGACATTACAATAAATATAAGAAAATAGTTGAAGCTCACAAGAA